AAGTAAGCCAGAGGAAACAGTGGCGCGACACGTCGCGGAAGAAAATTGTACAAATCGACTTCCCATCAGAAGCGAACGGAAGCTTCCAGAAAGTGAAACGGTGCCTGGGAAGTGCTGAAAAGTCCGTGGAGAATCCCACATCCAGAGAAAGTACCTTTCAAAATTAACCAAAGAAGCCACTAGTCCACAGGGCTAACAGCCTACACGACCCACAGCCTTGTCTACCTGGAAGCCCAAAGCACTGGGAGTCCTGCTTCATACCACTCCAGGTCCGCCGGTTGGGTTGGGTCTCAGGCAGAGCCGCGCTGCCATCTTCACAGGAGCAGACTTCCGTCTCTCTCTCCCCGAGGAGCTGCTGTGGGCTTGAACCGCCAACCTTGCAGTTAGCAACCTGATGTTTAACCCCCTGCACCAGCAAGGTACCGCTCTGCGCTGTAGGATTCTCCCCATAAGAGAGAACCAGCCTGGCATTCCTCGGGAACCACTCTGACAGTGCCACCCAGCGAGGAGCTGGCCAGCACAGGCCCTGCTGAACCCAGAGGCGCAGACAGCACTGGCCTGGCTCAACAAGATGGCCTTCCTTTGTGCTGACTCTACTCGCGATGCGGCCACTGTCAGCAATCCCCACTCTGAGAAGCTTCTCTTAGCAGTAAGTCCAAACAAGGGGGACGCCAGGGACAATGGGCACAGCACAGGTCACAAAGTTTGACACACTACTTTGGGGACTCCTGACTGAGGCTTCAACTGCGGGACGCCTGCTGATCACTCCCTGCCCAGAGGAAAGAGGAGGGATGGAAGTCAAGACAGAGAGAAAGCGCTGAGCCTGGAGGACACCAGTCGCCAAGACCCTGGGGTCAGAAGGACTAGAGGGTGCCCAGCTTCCACCTCCGACGGCTCTGGAAAGGATCCCATCAGAAGGCCCTGAACAGAGTGGCAGAGTTTGTAGAACAAACCCGAGACCAGGCTTTGGGGTCAAACCGAGACTGGTGGGGCCTCAGTACCTTTCAGGTCTGGTCTTAGAACCACCAACCACTTCGGATCCAAAGGGCAGCATTTATCCAAGGACAAAGGGCGAGGCTCAGAAGGGGAGGAATGAACGCGGGGGAGACAGGGAGGGAGTGGGATCCACATTGGGATGGGAAGGGGTTGCAGCTGCCGGGATGAGTCAGAACACGTCCAGAGCGTCGAGTGTGGAAATATGACCCCGCCGGAAACCTTCACCTAATTCACAATAAAAAGTTGTCCTTCTTTAAACAAGCGAGAGACTAATGGAACCATCGAGACCTGAGTCAACCGTCCATGGGGACCCGAACCCTCCCCGGTGTTAGAAGCAGCAGCCAGCGCAGATCAAAGGGGCAGCACTGACCACCATCCAGAGGGTGGTGGGGATGAAGCGGGAAACACAGGGCGGGCGGGGGCAGCGGGGGTGCCCTGAGAGGATGGCAGAGGGTGAGCGGAAAGGGAGGATGTGTGGATTGTTGGAAGTAAAACTGCTGGTCCGACCTGTAAACTCTCACGAAACCCATAATATTTTGGTTTTAAGTAGTTCCAAAGAAAAGCCCCCAAATGGGAGTCCAATGAGATGAACTGGGTCTTGTGTGTCCACTCTAAGGCAGTCACCGTGGGTGTGCCCAACCAGCCAGGACAGGGTCCTATACCCACCCCTGGGGGCTAGTCACCCCCTGGAGCTGCATGGCCACAGGTATGTTAAACATCACATAGAAAGCCCCGAGCCGGGGGCTCACCATCTCCTCGACGATGCAGGTGTAGGATCCTCAGCTGGACTCTTGAGCTCCCCCATCCTGCCTGGTCCCTCTTTATCCCCTTAGCCCGCTTCCTCTCTGCCAAGCACGAACCAGTCTCTTCTGCGGTGTCTAAGCTTCCGAATGCCTGTTGCTCTTGCTACCCTCAAGGCCTAGAACAGGATCTGGGGGCGTGGGAGGGGGGTACTGGGACTGAAAAGGATTGGATTGTGGGCCCCCAAAGTGTGTGCTGTAAGCCCCTGTCCCCCACCTGAAACCTGTGTCTTCTTTGCTACGTTCATGGGGCAGTATTCCCGTCGAACTCCCCAAGCCCACCACCGTCAAGCTGGAGCTGATGCACAGCGACCCTGTGGGAAAGACATGGGGTCGCTGCGTGTCAGCTGGACGCTGTGCATCAAGCAAGGGGAGATGGGGGACATAGCCGTCGTGTCCCTGGAAGACACCAAGGAGCCCAAGTGAAGGGGACACGGCCTTCCCCGGGGCCAACAGCCACTGTCTCCCCTTAGAGCCCGCGGCTCGACTTCAGGCTTGTAGCCTGGGGAGCCATGTAACAAGGGGCATCGTGGTGGAGTGGGGTGACCAGTCAGGTCACCAACTGCAAGGTCCCGGGTTTGAACTCACCACCGCAGGAGGAAGTTGACGCTGTCTACCCCCAGAAAGAGTTACTGTCCCAGAAACCCCCGGGGGTGGGGGCAGCTCACAATGGCCTCGGGATGGCAGGACTACTTTGGACACAAGCATTCGTTTGTTCATGAGAGCTAGCGACCCGGCCAGCCTTCCGCGGCAGCGAAGAGGTGAAAGGGATGGGAGGCGGAGGGACAGGTGTGACGCGAGAGCTTCCCTGGGGAAATGGGAGTTGGAGTTCTTCCTAGGAAGAAAAAGCGGGGTGGGGTGGGGAAGAGTGGGGACCACCCCCACCCCACCCCCAAAGGAAAGATGGCACCCAGAGCCCAGCCTTCGTGCCCTGTGGACCCCACTGCGTCCCTGCACGCCTATGTCCCTTTTGGAGTTAGGTCACTGGGGACGTCCCCCAGGGTGATCCGTGAGCAAGTGACCGGGGAGTTCAGCCCTTGCTCCCAGGTCTCTTCTCAAGTGTGTGTGTGTGTGTGTGTGTGTGTGTGTGTGAGAGAGAGAGAGAGAGTGAGATGCCCACCTGATGTGGCACCTTCCTAAGAGTGTCCAGCAGGCTGTGCTCTGACCACTCCATCCCTGCCTCCTCCTGGGTCTCTGGTTGGCTCCTGCCCTCCAGCAGCAAGAGCCTCTGACCACTCAGGCGGGCGCTGCAGCAGGAGGTAGGCATGATGTCATGGGTCGGGTAGCTGCCGCCGATGCCCCGGTGTTTGCCCCCTTTGCAGGTGCTTTGCAGTTCTTCCCCCTCGAGCTGGAGTCTCTGCCCCTGGGGCCTCGGCCTGCCTGGGGCTCACGATGGCCAATAGTGCGAACTCTGCCCTTTTCCCTTGCTCTCCCATGTCTGTCCACACACGTGTCGGCACGTTGGGGCTAGAAACGCACTTAAAGGAACCCAAGAAAACACCAGGGGAACCCAGCTGCCCCAGCCTCCCAGCCGCTACGCGTAGGCCTGGCCAATCCAGACGGCTGACGGCCGAGGCTGGGCACAGGGTAAGTGCTCCGTGGGCCTGGGGGGTCAGCTCTCCTGGTTTTCAGCCACTGTTTGGGTGGTACCACGGTAATAGCCCACCCTGCAGGGGGTTTGGAGACCACCACACTCCCTGCCACCGGAGCTGCTCGGTGGGAGGTATGTCCTCAGCCAGCCAGAATCTAGGATCACAGCAAATGGGGGGAAGCGTCCCAGCAGAGGCTGCAGCAGCCCCTGCTCAGGAGCCCAGGCTGGCCCCGGTCCTCTCTGAGCAAAGCTCGGCTCAGGGAAGTCGGGCAGTCACCGTGGGCTTGAACTGCAAGGGTGTTTGTCAGGTTCCATTTCTCCCTGGGACAGGGCTGCTACGGGCGCATCCTGCATCCTGGGAGCTTGGGTGCTTGTTGGGGTGTCATCCTTGAACTCCGTGGGCACTCTGTAGGGACCCACAGAGCACTGTGGTGGGGCACAGGGTGGATTCTAGCACATCTGATCCGAGTCAAGGTTTTCCGGGGCTCGCCTCTCAGGACAAATGCTGGGGTTTGTCTGGGGGAGGCGTTCGGAGGAGGAGGAGCTGGGGCTTCTTCCCCTGAGCACGGGTTCCCCTGGGAGATCCCATGGATGGGGCACACAACTGAGGTGGGGCAGGCCCTAAGCACCTCCTTCTCCTGCCTCTGCTCCCACTCCTCAGGGCACCTCGTCACTCCTCCCTGGTCCTGCCTGCAGCCAGAGACACCTGGAGAGACCCCCACCTCCAGCCATCACTGGGACAAAGATAGGCTCTCAACTGTGACCCTTGCCCCCAAGCAGTACCCCCACCAGGCTGTCTGACCTTCACCACCAGCCACTGCAGGAGCTTGCAGGGACCAAACACCAGGAGCCAGTTGAGAGCTCGTCCGGGCATGAGCCCTCAAACCTGAGCTGAGGCTGCTGCAGGCCTGTCCCCCACAGGGATTTCCCACCCTAAGTCCCAAAGCTACAGAAGGGGGGTCTCCCAGCCTGAATATGCTCAAATATTCCTCCACTATACCAAGGAATTTCTTCTCTAGCTTTTTTTCTTTACTTTAATTTTTATATTGTTTTCCTGTTTTGTTATTCTGTTGGGTTTCCCAGTTCAGGAACCACAGGCGTGGACACAGAGAGATCATATGACTGATGCAATGGTCTATGGGGGAGGCGGGGGAGGTCAGAGGGGAAGGGGGATTGGGGAGCGATTGGGGGTACAGGATGGGGCATCAGAGGTGATTGTGGTGATGTCGTGTAACTGGTGGAAGTGTCTGATACGTGAGTGCCCCGTCAAGAAAACGACCGAAAAAGAAAGAAACAAAACTTGAAAGAGGAAGTGCTTGTTCTCAAGGGCACACGGGTCATTTTCTCGGGGGCACAGCTTCCAGAGACCAACAGTGGTGCAGCATCGTTGACGGCACCGAGCGATGCACGTACAAGCTGTTCAACTGGTGAACCTCTTGTTGTATTTTTGCCAAAATGTTAAAAAAAACAACCCTACACGAGACACAGTGACTCCTAAAGTGGATGGTGGTGAAGATGGTCCAACGCTTCTTGATCCGGTTGAACTACTGACTTGTGTGGTGTGTGTACTAAGTGCCAATGAGCCTGTTTTAAAAAAGAGACACACACACGGGTCCAAAGGGGAAGGTTTTTAATACAAAGCAAGCCGGGTAGGGCCTGGGGGGATTAAATAACAGGGAGTCAGGAGCCGGCGGCAGGGGACGCGGGCACCCTGCGCAGGGGGATGATACAGACAGAGTTCCGAGCCTCTTTGACCCGCCACCACCGGCCGAGTCTGCGGGGAGAGAGGTACCGCTAAGGCCAAGCCCAGCCACCACCACGCCCGCTCTAGGTCCCCCCAGCTCAGCCACCAGGGTTCCCCGCCCTCTCCCCCAGGGGATCACCCACCTGTGCTCCTGTCCGACCCCCGCCACCAGGAAGTCCCCGGTGCTTGAGAACTTAAGGCTGTTAATGAAGCCCACCTGAGGGAGGGACACAAGGAGAGGGGTGAGAGGGAACCCACCTGCTCGTCCCCCACCCCTGAGACGAGGGTGAGACAGTGAGTCTTCGAGGAGCACTGGGCTAAAGGGTGCCCGCTGTGTCCGGGACCTCTGACCAACACCCTGCACTCTGAGCAAGGCCCTCCCGCAGGGTGCAGCGTGCCCAGCCTGCTCTGATCTGGTTGTGTGGAACTGATTACGGACCACCCCAGACCCCCGGGCCTTTGCTCAGGCGGTGCTTGGCAACAGGGCACCCAGCACAGGAGCAAGCTTGTGCCAGGAGCTGGGCACACAGAGGTCACAGCCGGCTCTGCGCTGGCAGCACAAACAGTACAGTGAACCCAGAGCCCCTGAGCCACGGGAGCCACGGGAGCGCGGCAGGGTGGACTGAGCGCTCGGGCCACTCACCAGGGGGATGTCGCAGAGGGGGGCCAGGCGCCGGAAGCCCTCCCCACACTGCCAGAGCCGCACGCAGGAACTGTGGGAGCCTGAGGACAGGGGACAGTGAGGATGAATGGCCCTGGCCCGCCCAGCCCCGCTGTCTCTCCACCCACTGTGCCGGGCGCCCACCTGTGGCCACGAGGTCTGTGTTGGGCAGCGCTGCCACCGCGGACACCCAGAAGGGCTGCTCCAGACCCGGCTCCCCGCGCAGCCCGTGGGCCTCGCGCTGCAGGGCAAGCGGCCGCTTCTTGGAGAGGCCCCACACGGCCACGGAACTGTGGGCAGAGCACAGGGTGAGGGCCACGAGCTGGGCACAAAGGCCAGCCGTAGGCTGCAGACAAGGCGCCCAGCTCCCAGGGCCTCTTCTCTTCGCGAAGGGAGCGGCGCGCCGGGGCTGGACGGCAGGCACCTCTTACCCGTCATCAGCGCCCGACACCATGTGCTCCTCGTTGATGAGCTGGAGGCAGTCGATGGAGCCCCTGGAGGGGAGGGCGCGTGAGGGTCTGTCCCCCCA